CTTCTAGAGAGTCTCGGCCGACCCAGCAGCCGATCTGCTCTTTGACGCTTGAATTTTAAATTTCGTAAGCGCGGAGGCCTAAGACCCGATAACAGAAGGACCATTGAGATGCATGATTCCTACCATTAACTCTTTGATTGGCAGTCCCTTTTAAATGTTCATGGGAAGGAAGACCTCGGCGTCCCAATAGCATCCACGCCCAAACCATTGTCACGATGTCTCAAGCCAGCTGGACTGGCGACGCAGGTGTCGTTTGTGGTTAAACTAGTATTCATGCAGTTTTATAGAGAGCTGTTTGGAAAAACCTATAGGACATTCGTTTGGCCTTACCTCCGTGGTCTAAGTAGGACTATCAACGGATGGGAAAAATACAGCGGAGGGCCATGATTATGGTCAAGAATCTTGGCCATCTACCTTAAGAAACCAGACCGACTGAATTGATTTGTGTCCTTTCAAGTACGGACAGATGCGCCGCGACCTCATTCCAATCTACCAGAATTTCCTGAGGCTTTGAATGCGCCCTAGAAGTTGATGACTTCTTACGATTGGCTGGGACGGACTGTCTGCCAGGTCATCTCTTTGAATTGCTGTGGAGGTTGGTCTGCACGGACTTCCGACAGAACGCCTTCTCTCGAGCATTTGTTGAAGCACGCAGCGGATTCTCTGATGTGGTGGTCCTCTCATAAACTGTTGAGGCATTTGACTGCAAAACTAGATATTTATTTGCTGCGAAACTACCGTGCATATTATCAAGATTGTGCTGCAGGTGGTAGTTTGCTCCTGACTTACACATATGGAAGGCTTCAGAACTTCTAGAATTATTGCCGTAAAAATTAGTTCTACTGCTATTTTCGGATATGAATGAGTAGCCCAAGAGCGAAAGCCCTAGTCCCTGGATAAAGTTGCTTTAAGTGAAACAACTAGCTTTGAGAATGAAACTCGCACGAAATTGACGAAATGATTCCTTATCTCTTGATAATGAAAATCCTTCATAATCTGATACTGTGGTTTTTCATCTCAGGTCGTTGGCCAAATAAAATCAAAGCCCGTCTTTTTTGCTCCGTGATAAATTTATCACAGGGGATTTGCTAGAGTATAGATGGCAAATTCCCTCTTTCCTCAGCATCGAACCTCTGGACGAGACCATATCTCCTTAGTTCCTTCCTCATCCTTTGCACTTCTAACTACCTTTAATATTTCCCATCGATTATTATGAAACAGCTGAGCCGTCCTTGCTGTTCGCATTTGATAAGAAATGACAACATCTGAAACGGTCTAATTAGATTACTGTAGGCTTTCTTCGCCCCGGTGAGCAAGTTCTCAGACTTTCTCGATTATTTTACGTTTCCTGATTATTGGAAGAATTCCACTATTATTCCCAAAAGTGCCGTCATTTCGAGACAAAGTTCTCAATACTCCGACCATCCTTGCGGAACGTGTCCTTTATTTTTTCTGAATCAACTCCTCACCATATCGATCACTTATCTGTCATCGTTGTATGTTTTGATCTTAGCAAAGCCTTTCATAAACAGCCATGCTGACGACTCTTAGCTACAGAAGAAGCTTTCAAATTCCAAAGTCGACTTATTGACATCATTAATGCATACGCGTCTCACCTGGGAGAAAATGTCTTGGCAGGATATTCACTTTCAAATGAGCTGTGTCCATCTAGGTACCGCGTTAGCCAATCCTTGATTTTCGCTCTTCAGTAATGACATTTTGTCAGCTGTTAAACACACTCGGCCTTCATTATAACGAACCAAAACGCGCAACCCCCTTGTTTACAGCTATTGAGCAGAGCTGCTCATAACAAAGTCATCCAGCTATGTGTATTCTTTTTAAGCGGATATCCGGATGGCTAATGGATTTCTCTCTTTTTTCTGCTAATTTGTTTAGAGCTTGCTTATCGATCTTAAAGCCTCTGATGTTGAATTTGCGGGAATTGCTGACGTGGAAAGAGGGAGTGTTGGCGTCTACTTTCGCGATCGACGTAAAATTTGTGGTAGGCCGCATCATATGTCACGTACAGCGTTGACTACATCTAACGTCTTTTAACAGGAACCAAACACACACGTGGCTCCTCGAAGCTGGGCTTTGCCTACCGATCACGCCCCGACAACCGCCATGACCGTTAGGCTGTTCCAGTTGAAGGTACCTGCTGCTGTATGTATCTACACCCGATAACTCTGCTCGCCTTCCCATCCACCAATTTAAAAAAATCCTTCGGAGAGGTCGACATACGGTCCATAAGAAGGCCCAGGCTAATGTACAGTAGGTGGGCTAACTCATGAAATGTCAACCGAAATTCCGAAATGACTTTTCGTTTCGAAAAGATTAATTAAGTAGGGTTGTAAAACTAGTCAACCTGCAACATAATTCAATAATATTTCAGCTGCCTCAGGATGCCGGTTTTCGAAATAACTTCTTCCGGCTGGATGCAAAAACTACACTCTGCAAAAAGTGACTATTTATGTAGCCTGAATGTTTCCCATTGATTTCCAATGCCCCTAAATGTCTTAATCTATTTCATGGAAACATGCATAAAAATATTCATTCTCTCGCTCATTCGATAGAAAATAACGTCTTTGTCCAATTTTATATTCGAAGGGAGGGTATAATTCGGTTTTCAAAAACTTGCGATTGCCGAATGATTTTGAACCCGCTCTACCGTTACATTTGCATTCAGGGTTTCTAAATTAGAGGCCGTCTGTTTTCCGTGAACGAAAACCACAAATTTCTCTGCGATATTAAGAGGAGACCATATGGGATCCATAGAATTTAGCAGTGGACTTAAGCCACATTGTTATTTTTATAAGCGGGATTCGGTTCTGCAGCGCCACTTGATTGATACCGTATGGTTAGCTTACTAAAATAATATCAGATAACATACAGTCGGTGGGCTAACTCATGAAATGTCAACCGAAATTCCGAAAGGAGTTTTCGATTCGAAAAGATTAAGTAACTAAGATTGTAAAACTAGTCAGCCTGCAACATAATTCAATAATATTTCAGCTTCTTCAGGATACCGGTTTTCGAAATAACTTCCTTCCGGCTTCATGCAAAAACTACACTCTGTAAATAAGTAGCATGAATTTGTCTGATTGATTTTCAATGCCCCTAAAAGTCCAATTATATTTCATGTAAAACATGATACAAATATTCATTCTTTTGCTCATTCGGTAGAAAATTACGTCTTCTTCCAATCTTATACTCGAAAGAAGGACATAATTTGGCTTTCAAAAACTTTTCCAATTCCCGAATAATTTTGAACCCGCTTTACCGCACTTGGATTCAGGGTTTCCAAACTACAAGCCGTATAGTTTTCGCGTACGAGAAACCCCACATTTCTCTACTGTAATAAAAGGGGACCATGTGGGGTTCATAAAATTAAGCAGTGGATTTGATCCATATTGTTAACTTTACAAGCCACATTGGTAAATGCAGAGACATGACGTTTTATGAAAGACCATTTCACGTTATTTAAAAGTCCTACAATTGGAAGCTTTCTTAAACCGAATTATGTCCCACCTTCGAGTATGAAATTGGAGGAAGACGTGCTTTTCTACCGAATGAGAGAAAGAATAAATATTTTTATGCATGTTTTCCATGAAATATAATTGGTCTTCTAGGGGCATCGAAAATCAATGAGAAAACGACCTTAGAGTTCTGTAAACCTACTCGGAACAAGGCCATCTGCTGATCAATATTTTCTTCTGAATTCTGACGCGGGAGAAGGCGACCTGGATGGAACTAGGATTGTGGCAATGGCACCCGCTGGATTATGTTCTTTTCCGGGAGCGGAACCCGCAGGACGACAACTAGGTAAAGTAAATACCGTTTTGTTAAATTTGTCTGCCAGTCATGTCCATTTCACCAGTCAACTGATCTGACGACTGGAAAACCTCCGGGTCTCCCAATGAGGTTTCATCCGCGGAGACACAATGCTCCCAACTGCGGGACACCGTCCATTCGGTCACCTTGAGCGCCCTTGGATGCGCACATCGTCAACATCATGACTGGCTTTATGAAAACGAAGCAATCATCAGCACTCTCCTAGTTGAAAAAAACAGGCTGCATAGGGTCTACATTGAACGTCAAACCCGTGCAAACAAGGCGGCCCTCCACCGATGTCACCGCCTTCTGCAACAACGATTGCGAGCAATGCAGGACACCGGAATAGGTCCGAAGGCCAAGAAGATCCAAGGATTGCGGTCCGTAGTTGATCTTAGGACTTCTTCGTAGCGATCAAGGCCATCTATGGTCCTGCAGCCAACGGAGCCGCCCTGCTTCTCAGCACCGACGAAACCAAAAAGCCGCGGACTCTGAAACGGTGGAGCGAGCACTGCGGAACTATCCTCAGTCGCTCATTATCCATCACCACCGCCGCCGCCGCCGCCATCACACGACACCATAAGTGGAGACCAACATCAACTTGAATCTTCTGTGCCCTATTCCTGAAGCCATTCATGCCATGCAACAACTCTCCAGCAGGAAAGCATCAGGCCCGAAGTGAATCCGACTAAAATCTATAAGCACAGCGGCTACCAACTGATGGATTACCCCACAATGCCTAAGACAGCCCCTCAGGATTTCAATGACTCGACTATACCCCCCCTCCACAAGCGCTAACGGGACCGGCGACTCTGTGATATCCACAGAAATATCTCGCTTCTCAACATCGTCGAGAAGATATTTGCTCGCCTTCTTCTCAGTCGTCTCAACAGCCACCTGGAGCAAGGAATACTCTCTGAGAGCCAATGTGGCGTCCGACGACACCGCTAGACCACTGCTCGTTAGCTAAAACGTAAGTGCGAGGGGATGCAAACCTACCTATACACCACCTTCCTGGATCTGACAAAAGCCTTGGATACAGTGAATCGTGGCGCACTGTGGAAAATCATGCAGGAATTCGGTTGTCCTCAGAGATTCACGGAAATGTCACGCAACCTCCACGACAGGATCATAGTGCTCGTTACCGGCAACGGGGCGACCTCCGAGGCATGCGTAATGGCCAATGGAGAGAAGCAGGACTGCGTATTCGCTCCCCCGCCCTCTTCAGCCTCAAGTTCTCTGCTATGCTAATGAACGACAACCGTGATGAGAGCCCTGGGATACGCATCGCCTTCAAGATTGACGGGCATCTTCCCAGTTGTTGGCACATGCAGGCCTCGACGGTGCTACCTATATCAACAGTCCACGACCCGCTCTTGGCGGGCGACTGTGTGCTGAACATCAAGACCGGTGAGGACGTGCAAAGGAGCGTGGACCTCCTCGCGCCAGGTGCATCAACTTCAGTCTATCAACACGAACAGAGCAGTGGCCATGCGCCAACCGTCGCTCAACACGGAACACAGCACTCCTTGAATCAATGTCAGTGGCAGCCAAATTGAAACCGTAGGCAAGTCCGCCTATCTACGAAGCATACTATCGCGCAGCAGAAAAAATCAACGACGATCTCAAAAACCACCCAGAATCTCATCCGGTTGCAAGCCTCCGTTTGTAGTCGCCACGGCCTTCAGGTGAACACCAAACTGAAGATGTACAAGGCCGTCGTCTTGACGACGGTTCCGTGCGGATCATCTAATCTAGCCATGTCAGGAAGCCGAACCGCTTCCATCTCAACTGCCTCCACAAAATACTGTAGTTGGGATTTCAGAACCGGATCTGGGACACGGAAGTCCTAACGCGGACCAGAATCCCCAACATCCACGCCATGCAACTGCAACGGCGATGGAGCGGCCACCTGATGAGGACGGACGGTGGGCGATTGCCCAAACGACTCTTCTATGGAGATGCCGCCACGGGGGCTAATCGACAGGGCGGACAAGAACGACGCTAGAGGGACACTTTGAAGAACCCTGCGAAGCGATCGCACATCAACCCGGAGACCTAGAACTACCTCACCCAAGACAGATCGACCAGGTGAAGAACAATGATGACTGACGCGGCAATCCACCGAAGAAACCAGATCGTCGCTGTTAAAACCAAAAGGGTGGTTAGCAAGTCACAAGCACCTTGAGCTCATGGCTCCAACGGCCAAACGCTTTCAAATGAGCTGAGCTGAACTTCCACCTCCCGCACTACATACGTAGATTAACGCACCGCATGGGTCTGTTCGGTCACATGTGAGTCCACGAAAGTTAAGCTCACTGCAAAATCAACACCCCAAAAATGTCATGTACAACTGAAAACTCTTCCATATCCAGCGCCAAGAACTCATCATCCACCAGCACAACCACAGCTAATAGCCTCACCATCCCAACTGATTATGCAGCCCCTAACCCACTGTGTCCTCACTGCCACCGCAAATGTGCATCACGCATCGCCTTGGTCGGTCAGTTGCAAATCCATCACAGAGGGAATGGCAGACCGGTGCAGGGAGCACCAACATAAACTCGTCACATCTACCTCAACTGCCCACGCACATTCGCTCACCGCATGGACCTATTAGGCCACAAACGTCCCTATGAAAACCTGCAGTAGAACAGCTCCGACTATATCATACCCCCACATTTTCCCTCATCAGCACCTAGAACACAAATGACCACAGCCAAAGGCACACAACCCAGACACGTAATTCGCACCTCTCACGCAAGTGGGAAGTGTGCTCCTTCTGCATGTGACTCATCTGCTGCATGCGTGACTATCACGGTGGGCTGCGTGCCGTAGCTTGGAAGGTTGCCAACTGACGACGAAATCCAGACCCCACAGTGTTGAAATGCCAGCTGGCTGATTGAAAGTAAGACCGTAGTGGCTTCTATGGGCTCTGTGGCAATCTGGGCCTGCACTGACCTATCCCTCTCCTGAATCACCAGGCATGTCATCACTGCTACATTTCGCTGACCAGGAATCTTCGTGAGTCGTGGTATGCCCTTTTGGAACTGCCTCACAGTCGTTTAAGCAGACACGTCTCCTCTGTACCGCCAGTTGGCAACCGGTTGATCATTTGTCATACAGTAGGTGGGCTAACTCATGAAATGTCAACTGAAATTCCGAAATGAGTTTCCGTTTCGAAAAGATTAATTAAGTAGGGTGGTAAAACTAGTCAGCCTGCAATATACTTCTATAATATTGCAGTTACCTCAGGATGCCGGCTTTCGAATGAACTTCCTTCCAGCTGCATGCAAAAATCACACTCTGTAAAAATAACCACATAAGTAGCACGAAGTTTTCTCATTGATTTTCGATGCCCCTAAAAGTCCAATTATGTTTCATGGAAAACATGCATAAAGTAATTATTTTTTAGCCTATTCGGTAGAACATTACGTCTTCTTCGAATTTTATACTCGAAGGAGGGGCATAATTCGGTTCTACGTTTCTACGTTCTACATGCACTGACCTATCGCTCTCCCGAATCACTACGCAATGTCATCACTACCATATTTCGTTGACCAGGAATCTCCGGAGGTCGTGGTATGCCTCACAGTCGTTTAAGCAGACACGTCTACTCCGTACCGCCAGTTGGCAACCGGTTCAATATAAGTAATAGTTAATCGCCTCAGGCAAACACCCACGCTTGGCCCGACAACACGGAAGAGAAGTAAGATTTATTGTAAAATCATACCGTGTCGAATGTGATCTACAGTAGGTGAGTTAACTCATGAAATGCCAACCGAAATTCCGAGATGAGTTTTCGTTTCGAAAAGATTAATTAAGTGGGGATGTAGAACTAATCATAAAGTAGGAAAATTCTATAATAATTCAGTTACCCCAGGACGCGGGCTTCGAATGAACTTCCTTCCGGCTGCATGTAAAAACTACACTCTGGAAAAAATACTTAAATAGCACGAATTTGTCTCGTTGTTTTTCGCTGCCCCTAAATGTCCAATTATGTTTCATGGAAAACATGCATAAAAATATTCATTCTTTCACTCATTCGGTAGATGATTACGTCTTCTAATTTTATACTCAGAGAGACACAATTCGGTTTTAAGAAAGTTTCCAATTGTGGGACTTTTAAATACCGTGAGATGGCCGTTCATAAAACGTCATGGTCTCTGCATTTACCAATGTGGCTTGTAAAGTTAACAATATGGATAAAATCCACTGCCTAATTTTATGAACCTCATAAAGTCCCCCTTTAGTACCGTATAGGAATGTGTGGTTTTCCGTACGCGGAAAATATATGACTTGTAGTTTGGAAACCCTAAATCCAAGTGTAACGGTAGAGCGGGTTCAAAATTATTCGGTAATTGGAAAAGTTTTTGAAAACCGAATTATACCCTTCCTTCGAGTAAAAGTTTGGAAGAAGACATAATTATCTACCGAATGAGCAAAAGAATGGACATTTTTATGCATGTTTTCCATGAAATATAATTGGACATTTAGCGGCATCGAAAATCAACGAGAAAAATTCGTGCTACTTAAGTAGTCGTTTTTTCCAGTGTAGTTTTTGCATGCAGTTCATTCGAAAGCCGGCATCCTGAGTTAACTGAAATATTACAGAATTATGTTGCAGGCTGACTAGTTTTACAACCCTACTTAATTGATCTTTTCGAAAGGAAAACTCATTTCGGAATTTCGGTTGACATTTCATGAGTTAGCCCGCCTACTGTAGTTAGTCGCGTTAACCAAACACCCACTCTTGGTCCGACAACACGCAAGAGAAGACAGTTTGAAAAAAATAATATTTTACAAAGTGTATACATTAAGCACAGAAAACGACGTAGCCCGGTTAAATTCGGTCTCCGGAAATGCCTACGGGTAAGTAGAAAAGAATTATAGGCTAGACAGTAGAAAAGGAGTTGGGGGGAAATATTGCAAACGTTAGGTTCGTTTTTCAACGATACTTCAACCGATTACCGAAATATGCACATAAAATACTTCTTTATATTGGTTAGTAAGAATTGTATATTATACCAGTAATAGTGGCAGCTTTTCGAAAACATTTAAAATCCACTTGCAGGTCAGATATTGTACACAAAGAGAAACCCTAAAGGTGGTACTTCTTCCTTGAACATTCATTAAAACATGGAGATGACGAAAAAAGAAGGGCATAAAAGCAATACGAATATCAGTTAACATATATCGTCGACAAAGAATGACAAACATCGATTAGGAGAAAGTGGTGATTCTGTTAAAAGTGAAATCGGTACCTTCAAAATTCATTGAACAGCCCCCTCAGAGGCAGATTTAGTCATACTCAAGCGCAAGTCATACATTCGAAAACGCATAAATGTTTTTCCCAAATCCACAAGACTCGCCTCCCTTTGCTCTAGCACCTTCGCCTTAAACATGACGAACGAATTCTACAAAAACCCATGATATTTTAATGCTCTTCTTCTCAATAAAACGGCGACTAGGGGGAGCATCTCACATTTCCAAAAAAAGTTTGGATGTAAGACGGACGAAGACCGCGTAAAAATCGGCAGGTAATCAGCCAGCGAAGAAAACGTATAAATTCGTTTGCTTCTCCCTATTCGACTGAAATCAGCGGCAGTAACTAGCTACTACACCCGAGTAAGGGACCATTACTGACCTTCAGGCCTGGAAGACGGTGGCTAGCCGCAAAACAACGTTCTCATTGTGTGCTTCCGGGAAAGAAAGGCATCACCGCGCATGTAATAGGTACTCCAAACCTTATGGTCCTTCAATGGGCAAGGGAAATAGGTGCATACGTCAGGTACAAACACCAAAATACGCCTCCCGATCTAAACTGAGGAACATGTGACAAAGCGTGAGCTTAGTGGCTCGACTGAATGTCGAGACTCAAAGTGCTCGGTGATCCAATCGATTGAGTTCGACCTATTTGCATCCACACTTACTCATAATAGAGTCTATTGAAAACGACGTTAACCCCATTACTGTTGTTATGAGAAAATTGCATTTGAGAGACCAATCGACACAACAAGCCGCGCTGTGGTCACCTAATAATCAGGGTACATAAACAAAAAGCATGTTTTTGATACCTCATCACCTTAATTGTGATCTCGGGGCCCCTAATATGGCTTGCAATTTTACGCTAACTCAAAGGTACGACTATCCTTCTCCTTCGTAAAAGTGCGATCATTAATAAAATCGCTATTCTGACGGCGAACTCGCCCTCAAAGCAAATTTATTAAGGAAACGTTTACATGACGTTGGCGTTCAACTGAGACTTCCAACTTCATCGACTGAATATGCCATTAAACTTTCCGCAGAGAAGACGTCGATTAGGATAATCCAGATTCCTCGATAATGCTGGAGGCGACGAAAAGTAAGTAGTTGCGCAAAGGATGACCCCGAACGTCAACATCTGGTGGAAGGTGCAAGAGCCATCTTACCAACATTCTGGATTTAATGACATAAACTCACGATTCTGCCTCAAAATGCGCTAAACTGATATCACAAAAGACGATCAAGTTTCATCACCAGCCATTACGCATTTGATTTAGAATAAAGTTTTCCCCCA